ATGCGCATGATGTCCAGACTATTGTCTGGTCCAGACGCGATTATTTACAGACCGCCGTCATAAAGCTGGAACATTGCTGTGTGCGGCGTTAAAGAACAAACAAACAAACAGCCCATTAGACAGCAGGTCAATTGTGACCAGATTGTAGATTATTTAAGGTAATATAATATGTTGTATTGCCATATAAAGAGTCTGGACGCCAGTTTTGTTCACAGATATGTCATACTGCCTGATGCCATGTTCTGCAGTGTCCCAGGAACTCGGGAATGTCTGCTGACCATGTTTCTGACCTGCTGACAGTTTTATTACAAGACAAATTTTTTCGATAACTAGACAAATGTATATTGTGCATGAGAGGCCTTAAGTACAACTGATTGATAATATGAGGTCAGTCACATGAGGTTAAGACATAGCTACGTTAACTCATGTTCAACCGAAACCTTAGCCTGTCTTACAGACCCTGATACAAATAAATCAAATACAGCCCATGCAAGTCTATAATGTTTGGTAAGTCTAGGTTACCGCAGTCCTTTTGGCAAGTCTAGATTACTGCAGTCTGAAACTGAAGAGAGTATCTGGGCTCCTTTTTATTATATTTTTATTAAGATAATTTAACAACTGCTTTTTTCTGTACATGTTCATTTCAGAGACTTGATGTTAGTCTACCGAAACCTGTCACATAGGGGCTGAGGGACTGCCTAGTGGTTAAAGCGTTCGCTCGTCACACCGAAAACCCGAAAACCCGGGTTCGATTCCCCACATGGATACGATGTGTGAAGCCGATTCACGTGGAATATTGCCAAAAGCGGCGTAAAACCATACTCACTTACTCACATGTGACTTGGAATCTTGGCAACATAACATTTTCAATATTATCAAAATTTAATATATTTACAATTGACTGTTTACACTAAACCATATCAACAATCCATAGGATGACTTGCATTCTTTAACATGAGTTATACCTTTAATCCGGAAACGGAAGTTAAACTACCAGATTGGAAGAAACAAAAAAGACAAAAATTACAAAGGACTCTTCAAGATAGGGACATGTTCTGCGAATTGCACTAGAGTAAGACCCGGGCTCGGTTCCTGGAATTGGTGAAACGTGTGAAGCTCATTCCTGTCACTCCTCGTCGTTGTATTGCTAAATATTTCTGAAGGCGTTGAAAAGTCAAACTCATTCACTCAATTAAGCTGCACAGAAATGCAGCGTTCCCCCATTGACCTGCATCCCCTACCCCCATCCCCATCCCCATCCCCACCCCCATCTCCCCTTTCCAGGATTGACGAAGATACGAGCTCGAGATGCGGGCTCGCAACGCCACAGGCATGCTGTACAGACGTGCGAGTGATAAGGGATCGGTGAGGATTTTTAACCGGTCTTTCTTCATTAGTTACGTACAGGTTTTGTCGCGGAGCTTCGCGAAGGTGTATAGGGACAGGCTTGAATTCCACTCGAGTTTATCATGGCCATATTACCAACATACTTACATATTTACAACAGTAAAAGGACTCCCTATGGGCCAGCTTTTCAAAATATATCTTCAACAAGTACCTGTTTGGCGTTTTGGTAATCCACCTCGACTCGCACCACCCACCCATCAAAATGACGATATTGGGTGAGTCAGTGATATTTCAGCAATATCACGGCGGGGGACACCAGAAATGGGCTTCACACATTGTACCCATGTGAGGAATCGAACGCGTGTCTTCGGCGTGATGTGCAAACGCTTCAACCTCTAGGCTACACTACGCATAAGCGGCAGTCATTCAATGGTATAAGTGAATATGGTTTTACGCCGCTTTTAGCAATATTCCAGCAATATCACAACAGGGGACACCAGAAATGGGCTTCACACATTGTACCCATGTCGGGAATCGAACCCGGGTCTTCGGCGTGACCACCGCACGCTTACCCACTAGGCTACCCGACCGCCCCTTCAATGGTATAAACATTACAACCATCTGGCATCAAGTGATGCTTGTTCAATTCGGGATGTGAGGGGCGGAGGGTAGTCTAGTGCTTAAAGTGTTCGCTCGTCACGCCGTTATTTTTCAACACGTTTTAGATAAATAGACAGATGTTTATTGAGCACGAGAGGCCTAAAGAACAACTGATGGATAATATGAGCTCAGTCACATGAGGTTAAGACATAGCTACGTTAACCGATGTTCAACAGAAACATGTTACATGGGAGCGGTGGGTTAGCCTAGTGGTTAAAGCGTTCGCTCGTCACGCCGAAGACACGGGTTCCATTCCCCACGTGGGTACAGTGTGTGAAACCCATTTCTGGTGTCCCCTGCCGTGATATTGCTGGAATATTGCTAAAAGCGGCGTAAAACAATACTCACTCACACTAAATCGGGATGTACAATTATTGTAATCGTTCAGATTAAAAAAAACCTCTAGGTTAAAAGGTTATTCAGGACCACGAAGTTTTGTTTGTTCTCCAAGACATCATTTAAATTAAAATGGCAATATTTGTTACGCCTTAAATGCATGCAAGTTTGGTCTATGTCAGTCTCTGCACTCAGTTATAGTTCTGAAAGCAAAAAATATATTTAGGCTTATAGTTTAAATTAATGAAATATCTGTTTTTGCAGATGTAGCTTGAAAAAATACACAATCCCACAAAAATATATACGTACAATGTGTGACCCCTGAAGATCCGGGGTAGAATAGGTCTTCAGCAACCCATTCTTGTCTCCCCGTGAAGATCCGGGGTAGAATAGGTCTTCAGCAACCCATTCCTGCCGTACATGGCAACTATGCTTGTCGTAAGAGGCGACTAACGGGATCGGGTGGTCAAGCTCGTTTACTTGGTTGATACATGTCATCGTATCCCAATTGCGTGGATCGATGCTCATGATGTCAATCACTGGATTGTCTGGCCCAGACTTGATTATTAACAGAGGGCCGTCATATAGCTGGAATATTGCTGAGTGCGGCGTTAAACAACAAAAACACAAACGCACGTACAATTTGTTCATGTTGTGCTACACAAACTGAATTCTTCATGGAGCATAGCTGTTCAGTGTGGTTTGTGCAACATGTATTTGACCGTCTTCTGGTAATGTAAAAGTGTCGAAAATGCAAACATACTATCCATTGTGCTACCCTACCATCCGGAATGATGACACACGTTTTGGAAGATTGAATGAGTGAGTTAAAATTTCGGCATAATGTCAGCCACATAGCGATGTATTGGAAGAGTTCTAAATAACATTGACAAAAGCCGATGACAATGTTTAACTCTACTATGATAGGTTATCAAGTAAGTTATCGAGTCTGACGGGGCGGTAGGGTAGCCTAGTGGTTAAAGCATTCGCTATTCAAACCGACGACCCAGGTTCGATTCCCCACATGGGTACAACGTGTGAAGCCTGCTCTGGTGTCCCCGCCGTGATATTGCTAGAATATTGCTAAAAGCGGCGTAAAACCATACTCACTCACTCACCGAGTCTGACCACCTGATCCAGCTAGTCGCCTCTTAAAAGCTTCACGACCCGTGAAGATCCGGGGTAGAATAGGTCTTCAGCAACCCATGCTTGCCGTAAAAAGCGACTATGCTTGTCGGAAGAGGTGACTAACGGGATCGGGTAGTCAAGCTCGCTGACTTGGTTGATGCGTGTCATCGTATCCCAATTGCGTGGATCGATGCTGATGATGCCAATCGCTGCATTGTCTGGTCCAGACTCGATTATTTACAGACCGACGTCATATAGCTGGAATATTGCTGAGTGTGGCGTTAAACAACAAAACAATACAAATAAATAAATAAAAGCATCACAGGTGGCTGGGGACTGACCACCTCTCACCCAGACTCCCCACAAGTGATTGAAGTCTGTTTGCAGTTACACAATATGAATTATTTACCCATCTCTACAACTCTGTAACCCTAATCCCCCGGGAATATCCGGGTTAGGTCATCAGCAAACCCGTTTGTCGTAAGTGAATAAGTGCGCACTTTTGCAGCTATTCGCCGAGAGAAATGTCGTAAGAGGCTGCTAACGGCATCGGTGGTCGGGCTGGCTGACGTGGTTCATGTCATGTCATCGTATCCCAATTGCGTACATCGATGCTCATGATAGCACTAGCTTTTCTGGTCCAGATTCGATTATTATTATTTTTTTAAACCAAAAACGCTTACATGAACTCTTAAACAAGCGTGAATTTGAAAACTATGCGAATAACCTGACGATGGTTGTGACCGTTTATTTTATCAGCACATTTCCTTGAACCAACCCCCTAGCCATGTCTAGCAAGTAATGAACACGTCTTAATTTAGAGCACTAGGCGTCCTGGTGCATCTTAACCCCAAATGGTTGTGCAGACACGTTAAGAATGATACGTCAGGTGAAGGATGGGTTAATTATCAACCCACTTTGTACAGCGAGATTTAATAAACAAAATTCTTCAAAGAAACCCAAAGCAATGGCAGCGCTAAATCTACATACACAATTGTTCGCGCTCTCAACCAACTAACGGAATCAAGACAAAGGACGCACTTCATCTTCAAAAGAAACAAATCACCGGAACTAACCACTCTCAAATCTCTTCTGCATCCATTTACCCCCGTGAGAGCATTACCGTATGGCAAAGGATAAGCTTAACCGACACATGTTTAACCTTGGACCGACAGAGCTCAGGGAAAAGGGACACCTGTTGGTGCTAGCGTTCGTTTGCACGTGCCCTGTCAGTCTTGCAATTAGCATGGGTTCTCACCTAGCTCGACCCCCACCCCTACCCTGCCAGATAGTTTAAGTGCCCTACGACCAGGCCTCAAACTTCTAGGAACGTTGCTCAATCCATGGCAAGTACGAGCCAATCCCGGAGCTATAAATGTGTAGAGCTATCAACTGCATCGCCGCGACACACCAACCGCGATATAACTGGAGCTAGTTGAAAAGTGCATCTTAACCGCAGCATCTAAACCAGAGCGGGGGGAGAGGGGAGGGAGCGGCGCTTGTGTCCAGTTTCCCGCCGCACGTGCTGTACCTGGTGTAGCAGACGATTCAACACACGTCACGGCGGTGCCAAGAGTCTGCTCCGAAGTGCATCCTGTCCTGCGCACGCGCACACCTCACTTATGAGATTGCGTGGTATAAATTGATGCGGCTAGCCCATGGTGTAGCAGTGTGAGCCGGGTGATACACGGGATATGGTGCTTCCTAAACGGAGGGGTACGCGAACAACGGACACGAATACCATGGCAACGCGTGTACTTCTCACCACACTCGCTTTAGCACTGATGGCAAGGTAAGTCACGTGACCTCCACAGCAGACGACAGGGTATTCTGTATTTGTGATTCATAAATACTCGCGTTTTTTAGACGGAAACAGGTTGACACGTTATCTTGTGACTAAGGATTGACTTGTCACATGTGTTCAACTATCCCACTGTGAGACAATACCACGTTTACCGTGATCAACCGGTCTAATTCCTATATAATCGTAGACACGGAACGAAACCGATATTTTTGTTAATTAGAAATATTAAGTAATTAAATTGTATTAATTACATAAATATACTACAAATGAAAATTTGTGCTACGGTAAATATCTCCGATGAACAATGTCAAATTATTTTGAAATTGATTTTGGTATGTATATAGTCCTGTGAAAGAAGAAAGTATTTGAAAAGCAAGTAATCTGAGACCGCTGCTCCAGATCGCCTACAGCATGGCACTGTCCTGTTTACAGACAGTGGCTGTCACACTCCATTAGATAGCAGGTCAAATTTGACCAAAATGTAGATTTTCATGTGAATACAATATAAATTTGAGACGAATACTTAGTTCCTCTCATGTACTGGCAAGACACTAGATTTGTTTCTTTATCGTTATATGATACTGTGTGTGTCAAGATGTGCAGTGGGTGGGGAACTCGGGAATGTCTACTGACCACACATTGCTGACCAGCTGACAGTTTTATTACAACACAAAATCCTTCCACATAGGGCCATTTCCTGCGAATTGCACCGGAGTTCAAGGTCCATTACTCATCGTTTTAACGATGTCGGCGTGACGTAAACAGGTGTATTATGAAACAAATAAGTTTCACAATGTCTGGTTGGTAAAGTGATATTGAAACGAGGGGTAACAAAAGTCCTAAACATGGCGGTTAATGTCGTCTGCTTATCGTACACCATATTGTGAGGTGAGGTGAGGTGAAATGGGGTTTAACGTCGCGTCCAAGATTATTGTACTTATATAGCGACAGGCATGTACGTGTGTGTGTTTGTGTGGCTGCTTGTACTAGTCCGGACTGATGCCGATTTATAGTGCTAGCCCACTGAGATACCATGCCGCAGTTTAACATGAATATCCCACTCAGACACAGTATACTGACTCCGAGCCGACCAGTCCTTGTTTTAGCCCCTTAATGCCGAGCGCCAGACAGGGTAACAACAAGTACCATCTTTTAACGTCTTTTGGTATGATGCGGCCGGGGATCGAACCCCGGACCTTCCGCTCTCCGGGCGGACGCTCTACCACTACACCACGGAGACGGTCACACCATATTGTGACGTACACTAGTCACGGGTGCCCTGGATGAGGTACTCTCACAAAGGGATAAACTCGACTTGACGATAACAAGGCAGTATGTAATTCTTTATGGGTAAGTATATAAGGTGTGATATACCAGTCGCAGAAAACAGTACAAATACACTGATTATGTTCAGTAAGCAAGTGTAAAACAGGCCATCTCTACAATGAAAATCCTGGCAGGACATGACCCATTCTATCCGTATTGAATCACAGCTACGTTTGGTTATTTGAGTGAAGGAAGGAAGGAAGGAAGAATGAACAAACAAATAAATGAATTTTACTTGTCGATTTATTCGCTGAAGTCATTTCCTTATCTGTGCCGTACTTTGTACATAGTCTTTATTTAATTAAACCACGGGAAGTACATTGTAGTTACATTAAATAACAGTAAACTACGGTTATAACGAACTCAAAGGGACCACTAACTTTAGTTTGTTATAACCGTAGTTCGTTATAAGCATATATATACAGTATAACAATAGCAAATAGTCGGGACAAAAAAATCAGTTCGTTATATCCGTCAGTTCGTTTAAAGCGTATTCGTTATAAACGTACTTTACTGTATAGAACAATATGTGAACAATAGTATTGTGAATTCACAAGCACGGTACAAATGACATTATTGCAGTGTATAAGTATACAGTACTGCTTGTAGGTTCCTTGAGCTGATTTTTTTTCTTCTGTACACCTGGAGTTGACCAGCAACCGATGCCCATGTCTTCAAAAATAGGTGTGATACAACCAAAAAGTGTTACACTTTTGGTATCTTCCCACTCACAGTCATGGAGGCTGAATACTGACAAATTTCCATATTCATATATTCTACTCAAAACAACGGTTAAGAACCACTTGATTCTTTCATATTACTAAAAGGCGGCGGGGTAGCCTAGTGGTTAAAGTGTTCGCTCGTCACGTCGAAGGCCCGGGTTCGATTCCCCACATGGTTACAATGTGTGAAGCCCATTTCGTGTGTCCCCCGCCGTGATATTGCGGAATATGGCTAAAAGCGGCGTAAAACTATACTCACTCACATTACTACAGTTAATCTGTCATCGGGAAGGTCTTGAGTTTATTTTGGTAGAATACGTAGAGTAAATCACCCACTGCATACTCTTTGTCAGAACGTTCAGCATGGCGTGTGAAGGATTTGTTGTTGGCCTGAAGACAATTTTCGATAACAGAATATATTATAAACACCCCACAAAACAAGCCCACCCCATCCCCAACCCCTGATATCAAATAACCGACCTCTTACGTGCAGACGACGATGTTGATGTAGACGTTGATGTGTCGGCAACATCGGACGTAGTCCCAGATGATTATTTTGCTGTGATAGTACTCAATATATCAATATGCAGTCATAGTCGACATCGTATCAGCAGATGGAAGAGAAAATTAGCAGACAAAGTTCTAATAGAAGATCTCGTAGTATTAACGTAACAATTAACTGGATGTTGTAGAGAGGGGAAAATGTATATCTGTTACAATAGTAATAACAATATACAACATCGTGGCAGTAGTAGCTGTAGTAGCTGATGGAGCAGAGGACGTGGCAGATTGGGCAGATACGAGGGGGCTCATCAGCACGTGTATTCGCCTGAGATAATAACATGCAGTTGAAGTGACGTGGTTTGATATGTTTTACGTAGTCGCCGACGTTGTAGTACATGTCGAGTGAGTGAATATTATTTTACGCCGTTTTCAGCAACATTCAAGCAATATCACGTCGAGTACACCAGAAATGGGCTTCATATCTTGTACCCATGTGGGGAATCGAACCCCGGCCTCAGACGTGACAATTGTAAGATTTTCTTTCGACCCTTTAACCACATCATGCTTCATGAGTTATATTTAGGCTGGACTAACGAGTCTAGGATAGTCCAATCAAAATCGCCGGTAATCGACATCAGGTCGGATTTTCGGTCGATTGCAGGATTTGCAGAGCATTTGAACCGTCAACCGAACGTCGACAGATATTTTCCAAATCATGTTTTTAGTCGAGGTGCTCACGTGATTTGATGCTCTTCGAGGATAAGACCCGTTTTATTGCAATATAGATCTTGATTATCGATCAGATCGTCTTGACTGGGCGCCGCCATTTTATTTGAAGCAAATGGACGTGATATGAGAGGTGGAATCTGATTGGCCAACAGGAGGGACATAGATGGGACATAACTTGTAGTAGGCACTGGTGGCGCTACGATCGATTTCAGCCTAGTTCGGCAAGGGTGGAAAATGTACTTTTATAGTCAGTTAACTCCCTTGCCTCGGTTATCTCACGGCGGGTCAGCTGGCTTGATGGCGAAGGGAACCCTGAAATGATTTCGGTCTCTACCGCCATGGTGAGACCCACAAGCTTCGTGGGGTTAGTAGGACAAACCAAGAATCATTATCAGGGCGAATATGGGATTCGAACCCACAATCATAGGATTCTGGCACGCAGTAATGCAGACCGTGTTACGTCGCCTTAGGCGACAGAGGCTTCTGTGTCCCCAGCTTCAGCAGCATAGCAGATGTATTCCGTGAAGATTGATGCATATCATCGTATCCCAATTGCGTAGTTCGATGCTCATGATGCCCATCACTGGATTGTCTGGTCCAGATTCGATTATTCACAGACCGCCGTCACATAGCTGAAATATTGCGGAGTGCGGCGTTAAACAACAAACAAACAAAGAAGCAGTTGCTGGTGAAGCAGAAATAGAAGCAGTGGCAGAACAGTTGATGTTTATGTAATAGTTAACACTGGTAGATTTTGTAGAATTAAACGCTGAAGCAGCATAAATATTAGTAGTGGAAATTCTTCGAGTAGATTCAAAGAGTAGTTGCGTAGTTGTGAAAATATCAGCAGTAGGTGACGTAACAGGGGAGGATGAGGTAACAGGAGTAGACGTTACAATAATGGAGTAGTTGTGGAAGTGGTAGTCTATGTCAGAGCAGACGCTGCAGTAGACGCTCATAGTAGAAAGAGAAATACTACGACAGCGGGGTGTAGTTGACGTAGTAGCAGCCGTAGTAGAAGTTGTAGTGGGAACAATATGTCCATAATTCACTGCAATGACGAACAGACTCTGTATAAACAAGCCAGCGCCGAGGCCTATTTGATGAAGGTACAGACAAGGTGGATCTCGAAACATGCCACAAGCTATTGTTAGCTGGCGCTCGTAGAGCTAGCACCATGGTATTTACAAACAATGGCATCAGTTGTCTTCGGGCCTCGCGGTGCAGAGGATAGCAGACTCTGTTAGATAGCAGATCTGGGCAAGGCAGGACGATATCATGAGCCTGTTTGTACTTGTTCAGCATGGAAAGTTACGCTTGCAGTTGCCCCTTAATGACATTCGCATCACAAAATGCCAACCAGAAACAGTCTACCCCCGGCGATTTCAAACGAACAGGCTGTCAGTGTTTATTTGAACAAAGCGTCCGTAAACATGCGTCGATATTATCAATTTCATCAAACGTTTTGGACAGTCGGGGGCATAACGCCAGCCAGATTAGCCGGGTGTTGGTTATTATGTTTTGCAGTGATGTATGCTTGTCCTTGTGCTTTTACAAGCTTGTTAATAGGAGACATTCAACCTCTCAGTGGTATCCTCAAAGTGCCCGCAGTGCGACTTTCTCCGGGACAAGATGTGCATAATTTCTCACTGTGAAGAGTTACTTCCCTTTACCTTGCCAGGGTCCGCTGATTGTGACTTCGAATCTCAGATTCTAGCTGAATATGATTCCGTCTGTCAGTACCATTCTCGTATTCGGTTGGATAAATGTCGCATGTGGATTCACATAGTTTAATCTTACAGCCTTATATATCTGAAATACGGTGTTGGCTTCACTGCAACAACAATGAGGGTCTGGTATAGTCGCCCTGATGCCACCAAAGCGTTGTGACACGGAAGACATGCAGCAAGGCCTTACACCCCCATCCATGCTCCCGACCCGTGAAGATTCCGGGGTAGAATAGGTCTTCAGCAACCCATGCTTGCCGTAAAAGGCGACTATGCTTGTCGTAAAAGGCGACTAACGGGATCGGGTTGTCAGGCTCGCTGACTTGGTTGATACATGTCATCGATCCCAATTGCGTGGATCGCTGCTCATGATCTCAATCACTGGGTTGTCTGGTCCAGACTCGATTATATACAGACCGACGTCATATAGCTGGAATATTGCTGAGTGCGGCGTTAAACAACAAACCAACCAACAACCAAACAACCATGCTCCCTGATGCCGTTACAGAGTTGTGATGGTGCTAAACTACGGCATTAACCCGATCCTTAGAAAAGAGAACCGTGTTATAAGTTACCTGTCATAATATTATCTAGAAATATTTTTTTAAAACCCACATATTTGAAAATTAAACTTCAAATGCAAGAGCCTGATTTACGATTCACACCAGTCGCAGGCTGAAACGAACGATTCGTCACTTTGCAACATAGCCTTGCTCCAAGGCTTTTATGAATGTTCATGGATGTATAGTAATTGCATCCTTAAAATGGTAATTCTACATAAACGGACAATACAGGACGTCAGTCTTTATTGGGACAATATTTATTTATTTATTGCAAAAGGAATTATATGTTAAACGAAGCATCATTTCCTTGGAGACTTGTGCAAGTCTAAGTACAAAATAATAGCCCAAGCACGTTGCACGTCCAGTGGTGCCAACATATCTACAACGAGGTGCGTTTGCGAGACAGTTAACACTTAAAAACGCTATACTATATACACGGTTTAAAAGAGGTCATAAAACCTTAACACTTGAGAAGGTGGAAAAGAAGATCCCATTATAGTCGCACGTTATCTACTTTCTTACGGGAGCTACCGACGTTATGTTCAACTTACGTTGTTGCGTGGGATGGAGAGGGCGTGAGGGGTGGGGGTATGTGCTGTCCGGACTTCATACACATTGCACAAATACTCATCTTCGGATATGTCGAACACGGATATAACGTACACAAGTCTAAGGGATGGTAACAACAAAATGGTCTCTTTGAGGAACACTTTTTACAAAACCGACTGGCTGGAGGGTATATTCTGGGACATCTAGTAGCTTGTCCTGGAATCCCAGTCTCATCATACCATGTGAACGATTTGTTGTTACCCTGGGTACAGTTTTCGGTAACAGAATCTTTTTTAGACACGTCGGGGGCACGGGTCTAGGGCGCCGCGATTCGCTGTGCAGAGTTGCGTCCCTTGGGCACGCCAGAAACCTATGATTGTGGGTTCGAATCCCGGTTCGCCGCGATCATGTTTCTAGGTTTGTCAGCACCATACCCGTGCTCGTGGGTTTCGCCGAAGTGTTAAACGTCTGGGACCTGCATCAATTCGGGCTTTCCTCCCACATTAAGATGACACGCCGTGATATAACTAATACTGTTAAAAAAACGGCGTTAAAACCAACTCACTCACTCACTCACTCATTTTAGACACGTCACCCAGACACATTCCGGATTCCCAGATTCGCAAATTCCCAGATTCGCAAATTCCCAGATTCGCAGATTCGTGCCTTGGACTTTATTGAATATGATAATGTCGGGACAAATATGTCGTTGAATGTACAATATATACGCTTTCACGCTCTATATTTTTCAGGTTTCTATTTACCACTATCTAAATATGATTTAATAAGGAAACAAACTTTAAGAAATTCATCCGAGGTATATTTAAGACAAGTTTCATGTCAGCGTGACAGTTGTGTATGACAATACGTCAGTGCCATCGCTCTCTTTGCTGTCGCTTGTCGGTTCTAGTCTTTACATATATAATAACTGTATGCAGGCAACCTTTACAGTATATTGCCGAGACTCACGCTTAGTCTCTGAAAATACATAATTATGATAGAACCAAATAACTCCATTTAAATTGTAAAGGAGGCCGTGTAAGAAGGGAGATTCTAAACCCAGAAAATCTAGACTTGCTTCATTTAGGACTTTTGCATTACGGACAGGACTGGGCGGAAGGGAAAATAATGTGGTTCAGGGACTGTGAGACAGGCTATATATTACGAGAAAACATGGCGCTCCACGACGCGTGTTCTACAGAATCAGTCAATGAATTTGAAATCTCATTCATTAAAATTAATTTCCCAAGACACATCATCAACAACTGGAGTGTAATTTTAAAATCATTCTACCTACATTTCTAATTAATCAACGCAATTCAAGAGCCGTCATAGCAAGCATAGAGCACGAGTCACAGCAAAACGCTGAAGGAAATTAAATAACCGACACGTCTTAAGTTACAGATCATTAAGGGACCTGAACCTACATCACATGACCTCGCAGTCACGTGGTCCGCGTAGACAGGCGGAGTTTACCGACGTGCCTCGCCTCAGTTTTATATCTCAAGTATTACAGGAGATATATATGATCTCTCAGACCCCAGTGTCACGAAAACAATGAAAATCTGCCCTGGTATGCCTTAATGGTTTAGAACTCGCCCGGGATGGAGAGTCTAGAACTGTCTAAGCCCTGACAGTCAATTAACTTAAACGCTTGGACGTTGCGTCATTCATTCGACTTCATTCGCGTATTAACTTGATTTCTGAGAATACCTCGGATTTGAATTTTTTGGTGTCACGTATGAGATAATAATTAAATGACGTAGCCAAACCGGATCTTTATTTCCCAACGGATGTGACTTGAATAACTATAGAATATAGGAAATACCGTCAACGAGGTCAAAATTTCTCACGCCATATTTATAACAAAATGGTGGGTGGGGAAAGCCGTGACCCTTTTCCAGATCCGACATCGCAGTTAAATTTATTTCAGTTTAATCACCAGTTGTCATAATAGTCGTTATTAAGTCATAAACGCGTTTAGTCCTTTTCAATGTATGATTAATGCTTGCAATAGAAACTCATTTTCTGTTTGCGAAACGAAAATCGCAAATGAAACCGAACTACGCATATTCCTAAAACATTCTCACAGCAAATTGTTTCTCGTCAGTGCTATGTTATCACAAGCTTTGATGCTGACTGTGCGTGCGTGATCCCAGCTATTATGATAAAGCTCTGAAAGTATTGATGCTATAAAGGCTAGGGGTTAGTGTTTATAAAATTCGTCATCCTCATCCTGAATGTGTGACGTAGCCTTGCTCCAAGGCTGTACTCAAAGAAAAGTCCAAGGATGTGTAGTAATTCTATCCTCCTAATAGGCAAGTCTAGTTATGCGGACCCCAGTCTCTTATAGGGACGACTTGTTTCTTATTATTTACATAATCTAGAAATTATGATTCAAACAAATAATTATTGCCTTAGAGACTTGTGCAAGTCTGTGTGTGACACAGTGCAGCTAGAGATGCATATGGGGACAGGCGAGGGTCGAAGTTCTGTGGAGTGTACGAGTTGGCGTTCTCACTGACAGACACCTCATAACGTGACAGGAGCCGTTTCCACTTAAGCCACACGGCCTCCCCGACAGCAAATAAATACACCTCTGAATTTAAAGGCTTGCAAATGGTTGTAATAGAATGGTTTAAATACAGAGCTTTGAAGATTCCCAAATGGATATCGCTTATTCAACCTTCGCATTTAGATCAACGTGTGAATATAATTAGTTCGGGGATTCAGCGAGTTGAAAAGATAGGACCTTCAACAATCGTTCTGTTTCTAATTTTATGGTTTGTTATGAGTCGATGAGTACGCCCCGTTGTCATGATGAGAGAATGAGATATGTGTTTATTAGCTCAATAGGGTTGATTATTAAAACATGTCAGGTGCTCTGCGGCATTGCTATCAACAGGCTGCTACTAGCTGTGATGGAAAGGTCAGAATCCCCGATGTCGATAAACAAAATTAACGGGTTTTTTTTTTGTATTATAAGCTTTCTAATAAATCCATACATTTGCAGGCGGCGATTTTCTGGAGCGCTTATTCAAAATTCTTTCAGCGGCGGGGAGGTCGGGTAGCTAAGTGGTTAAAGCGTTCGCTCGTCACGCCGAAGGCCTGGGTTCGATTCCTAACATGGTACAATGTGTGAAGCCCATTTGTGGTGCCCCCGCCGTGATATTGCTGGAATATTGCTAAAAGCGGCGTAAAACCTCACTCACTCACTCTTTTAGTGGCCACAATTTTATGGTCCAGGAATTTCAGTTGAGATAAAAACGTATTCAACAGATCCAACTCTGTTTGACCGATCTTGTGTGACGTAATGTGCACTACACAAAAACATATTCTGAATTATTTTTATAATTTTTAATTAGTTATTTTCTTAGTTCTTAGCTCCTACCTGAAATGGCACATATTTCGAAAATCCACATTTAAACAAGGCCTTTTGTGACAGTAGTATTATTTGAACTCATTTGAATATATTTTGTACATATATGTTAAACGATGCTACAAAACATGTATTGACTCACGAATGATGAACGTGTTGATGTAAAGGTAGTCGTTAAGACACTCGCACTTAATAACCAGTCAAATCATGGCGCGGGGCAGAACAAATCCTCAGATAGACTTAAAAGTCCCGTATTTATGCCCAGTTGCCAAATAAAGATGTTAATTTTAATTTAAGAAAGACATTTTTTACACAGAGCCTATCTGCACTTTTGACAAAAATTGTTTCTATTAAATTCAGGGCCGCCTCGGGAATGATGGACATAACGGCCTTTGAGTACATTCGGAAGTTCTCGGATCACCTCGATCTCGGCGAGTGCCCACGGCGGGAAGTTCCGATTAGCAACGGCAAGGGAAGTCACGGGATGGAGCGTCTCCGATGGTAAGTCACCCAACCCATGTAACGAAATGTGATCTTTTGCGTCGTAGGAAGTGGTTATCAAACAGTGACATGCATATATATATACCGACATTGCCACGGGACTGTCTGGTTCGACCATTCAATGGGCCCTGTCTCCAAAGGCGTTGACAAATTGCGAGAAGCTAGTGCTTCAGGTCGCTAGGAAGGGCGTTACATCTCTTTCTCCATGCGGGTGTTGCCCATGACCTTGTGCCAGTCCTTCATCCTTTGATAATAAGGTCAAGGTCATCTGGAAAATATACTTGTGACATGAAACATCCTTCACAGGTACATCGGACCCGTGAAGATCCGGGTTAGAAGAGGTCTTCAGCAAACAATGCTTGTCGTAAGAGGCGAGTAACGGGATCGGGTGGTCAGGCTCGCTGACTTGGTTGATGCATGTCATCTTATCCCAATTGCCTAGATCGATGCTCATTGCGTGGATCGATCACTGGATTGCCTGGTCCAGACTCGATTAATTACTGACAGGCGTCATATAGCTGGAATATTGCTGTGTTCAGCGTTAAACAACAAACCACATGAAGATCGTTTCTACTTAATTTCGGGGCGGTCGGGTAGCTAAGTGGTTAAAACGTTCGCTCGTCACGCCGAAGACCCGGGTTCGATTCCCGACATAGGTACAATATGTGAAGCCCATTTGTGGTGTTCCCCGCCGTGATATTGTTGGAATGTTGCTAAGAGCGGCGTAAAACACTACTCACTCGCTTGCTCACTCACTCTTGCACTCACGAGTCCCGAAGGTGCGTGGAGTGTGTATACTCAGTATACTACAGTCAGCAATTTGTCAGATATGTCTCAGCGGTCTGTAAATAATAGGTTGGTTGATTCTACAGCAACATCATGGCGGGGGGACACCAGAACTGGTCTTCCCACATTGTTACCATGTAGGGAATCGAACCAAGGTCTTTGTCGAGACGAGCGAACGCATTAACCACTAGACTACCCCAACGCCCCAGTTGATATTTTGAGAACAAACACTTATCAACCAAATCGACGAGCCTGGTGGTAGATTGTAAATGATAACAGCATAGGGCAATCCTGGGCCGATAAAAAAATAAATATATAGTGAGGGGTATATTTTGTATCGGCTCAGTATTGTTTCTTAGTTCAATCTACCATCAAGTTACTATGACCATACATATTGTAAGTATACTGCCGGGCAAAAGAAAGTATACACCTGAAAATTGAATTTGACCAAAAACTTACAAACGTTTCAAAACGTTACTAGGCTGAAAACAGTAACTGCAAAACACGGCAAACTCAAAGTCGAAAACACATCTTTGATACCCTTATCAAATACATCACCGTCGATTAACCATTTATGGTTTGTTTTATTGTTTAGCCACTATCTTTTGTCCAGCAGTGTATCTCTGTTCAGTGATCTCCGGTCAATGATGTTTTTAAAATATATGAATATAGGTTCGCATAACGATACCGAAAACGATAAAAAAAAAATATCGTGAGGTTTTCGATATGACCTAATAGTAGATGATATGTAACGGAGACATGCAAGGACGGGAATCTGTTTTACATTTCAAGCTAATCGCCGAAAAGTAACCATATGTGTTATCTCTCGAGAAAATAGACCGTTATTTCAACAGTAACGGAAGTTGGATTCGACGATAATATAAGTTAAGGTTTTTCTAGATTCTGAGGCTGCCAACACGAGATGCTATTTCATTATCACCCTTTGCCAGGTTGATTTCGTTCCAACCGGAAGTCAACCGCCCCGCATCTTGTGTGATATAACACAAGCCAGTGTGAATATCAAATCTAGTCGAGATAAATACCTATTTCTTTATCGAGTTCGTGATTTACTAAGCGTTTCCACAGGGTTGATAGTTCCCCTGAGATGTCCCAACCTGCCTGTGTGGTTCATCAGGGGAGGTGGCAACACACACCTTCCTATCAGACGGAGGCGCTGGCACGGAAGCGCCCCAGATAAAACATAGTTCCATTCATTCAAACCTATCATGGTGTGACGCCAGCGTTGTGAAACGGTGCCGCTGTGGAAGCTACTAGAAAACTTAGTCCCGAGACATTTCATAATTATACATCCATTCAAGACGTAATACACACTGCTGCCTTGACATTTGTGGCGCGGATGAATTTGCCAGTCAAGATAGCGTAGACTTTTGGCGTGGTTGGGTCCAGACGCGAAACTTACACAGGGTTGTTTAAGAGAAACCAGTCACATGACCGATATTGACTGATAATCAGGGGTCTTAAGGCATCAAGCATTACCCATTATCCAACTGTCCAATGGGTAATGCTAAAGCGGGTAGCACAGTGGTTAAAGCGTTTGCACGTCGCGCTGAAGTAACGGGTTCGATCTTATGCTTACATTATGAGAAGACCATCATTGGTGTCCCCTGTCATGCTGTGGCATGGGTATTGTTTGTTTGTTGTTAAACGCCGCACTCAGCAATATTCCAGCTATATGACGGCGTCTTTTAATAATCGAGTCCGACCCGCTGATCCCGTTAGTCGCCTCTTATGCCAAGCACAGTCCTCTTTTATGGCACGTATAGTCGCTGAAGACCTATTCTTACCCGGATCTTCCCGGGTCGTCATGGATATTGTAATGCTAGTGATAAAACTCGCTCATTTGGGGCGGGAGTGTAAGAAAAGCATGGAGAAATACTCAACTGTAATGTAACATTATCAAACCGATAGTGAGTGAGTGAGTTGGACTTAACGCCGCTTTGGGCAGTTTTTCAGTTACATCACGGCGTGTCAGCTTGATGTGGGAGGAAATCACCAAGTGATGCAGGCCTCAGACGTTCACCACTTTGGTGAAACCCGCGAACACAGGCATGGTGCTGATAAACAAAAAAAACAAATAAGGGCGAACTGGTATTCTAACCCACGATCATAGGTTCCTAGCGTGCGAAAGGGACGCAACTCTGTCTAGCGAATTCCGGCGTCTTCGATATAATGACATGCGATCGACCAAACCTAAACACCCGATCCATTTTGTCGCCTCTTACTACAAATATGGGCTGCTGGTCCCTGTATTCATACCCGGAATCTACACGGTGTGGACGAAGATGCGTTTCTACCTATATACACAGCCGGACAAAAGAAAATATACACCCATGTTTAATAGTGGCTAAAACGAAACAAACAAGAAATGGTTATTCGACGGTGATTATTTCATACGGGTATCATAGTCGTGTTCTGGGTCTTAATTTTGCAGTGACCGCCTCCGTGGTCTTGTGGTAGAGCGTCCGCCCGGAGAGCGGAAGGTCCGGGGTTCGATCCCGGGCCGCGTCATACAAAAAGACGTTAAAAGATGGTACTTGTTGTTACCCTGTCTGGCGCTCGGCATTAAGGGGCTAAAACAAGGACTGGTCGGCTCGGAGTCAGTATTCTGTGTCTGAGTGGGGTATTCATGTTAAACTGCGGCATGGTATCTCAGTGAGCTAGCACTATAAATCGGCATCAGTCCGGACTAGTACAAGCAGCCACACACACACATACACGTGCATGCACGTCGCTATATAAGTGCAATAATCTTGGACGCGACGTTAAACCCAATTTCACCTCACCTTAATTTTGCAGTGTTTCGGGGGACTGTTTTCAGCTTAGTAACGTTTTGAAAACGTTTCTATTTTTATGGTCAAATCTAATTTTCAGGTGTATCCTTTTCCCCCCGTTATTTTATATTCTTTGAACTAACTGAAAAACTGTGCATACACAATGTCATTTAGAAAGTTGTCAAATGTAACGCATGTTATATTTGGGATAACTCTGCCTTTGTAAAGTACAAATTCTTGTACTTTTGGGGGTTAGGTCCTATCCGGGATTCGAACCCACTCTCTCAGAGTGAGGCATCAAGTAGCCATCACATAAATTTAGCGATCTAACCTACTCAGCCACTAAGGCTTTCGCTTTAAAAAAAATTCCTGTCATGTCATGTTCTGCTAAAGAACGAATTATTCCGAGTTCGTCTCTTCTGTAGGATGTAGAATTAGTCGGTCGAATGGTTGTAAACCTGTTCTGCGATCACAGAGATGTCAAATACACATCTCCCTGTCTTCAAGTGTATTGGATGGATTACTCATTTGCTGAATTCCTCGGCGGTTATTTGAGTCAACACCACCTTCTCGTGGTAACTGATGTCGACGTAGCTCGCCATAATACTATAAAATGACGTACCCTATTTCCAAAGCGTGCCATTATTAGGCTAAGTTACCATCACGCTCTTAACACCTAGCCACGCCATCGCTCATCATTACCAGTAAACGTTGTAGTCCAACCACGCACAAATGTTTCCACAATCATGACACAGATTTACCGCCTTCTACTAAGTACCCATCCAAGGCACAATGCACGTGTGCGCGTTCCACCAGCCTGTTTACAGCCCAATTCCTCCGCCACCCGGTGAGATAGTCCCTTATAGTAGCCAAACAACTCACATTAACGTCCGGACTCTTTACTTTCTCGGATGTGATATAACCTTCCAAGCTAGACCTGATCACTTCCGTATGTCCTTCCACCATCCCTTCACACCAGGGAGGTGAAGCGCCAGGGTACATAGTTTCCGGCGAATTCAGGAAGATGGTTAAGACGTATGCCAAACGGTTTATGATAGAGCAATTTATTGTTTTAAGATTATGTCTTAACCATCAAGTCAACCTTGATACGGATTCCTGAGGACTATATGCGTTATTTCCGTTTTGAAAAAGCGTAAATCTTCCTACTTTATATTGCGAGGGATTGCAGAATAATTTAACAGAGAGCTTATTGGTGTCGGTGTGTTAGCACGTAAGTAGAGATGGTATCTGGCAGAGGATGGGGATGAAGCGCTTCATTACAGCCTCAGAAGCCGCGAACAGGCATACTCCACGCACATAGACTATCTATGATCAGGTACAATCTTAAGACAGTAATTTGTGGTTAATGACAAATGTGTTTATTGTGTTTAATTTGTCTGAGGTTAGAAAACATTGTAATTTCAAAATGAACAGCACACGAGCGCCGGTGTCTTGTGAGAGTAGATGAGGGGATGGGGGTGAAGGAGGAGGGGGTTGCGGGGGAAATCTTATAGACTAAGATCTCGTCTCTGAAATGAACATATCTCACAGAAAAAAAGACAGTTGTTAATTTATCTTTGTAAACATATACTAAAAAGGAGCCCAGAGACTCCCTTCATTTTCAGATACTGCTCTAATCTAGATTGGTTGGTTGGTTGGTTTGTTGTTTAACGCCGCACTCAGCAATATTCAAGCTATATGACCGCGGTCCTTAAATAATCGAGTCTGGACCAGACAATCCAGTGATTAATATCACGAGCATCGATCCAAGCAATTTGGATCGATGACATGCATCAACCAAGTCAGCGAGCTTGACCACCCGATCCCGTTAGTCGCCTCTTACGACAAGCATAGTCGCCTTTTACGGCAAGCATGGGTTGCTGAAGACGTATTCTACCCCGGATCTTCACGGGTCCTGTAATCTAGACTTGCATGGGCTTCATTGGATATGTTTGTTCCAGGGTCTGAATGACAGACTATAGGCCTGATAGAAATACGCAGTGCCTTAAGAGTTACATCTTCCGAGACAAGCGTGTCCACTAGCCTATACGTCTAAAGTCTTAAACTAGGCGAGTGAAAATGCTTGCCTCGTGAGGGAAGATGAAAGAATTAAACCAAAACTGTATGTCTCAAATGGACCAAAATTCAAAGTCAAGTGCGCAATATTGTTTAATTTGTACACAATACTTGACATCTCGGTGGATCGTTACACTGTGACATATGGTAATTGTATTATGAACAACAGTTTGATAACTAGGAAGGAGTGAGTGAGTGAGTTGGGTTTAACGTCGCTTTGGACAGTATTTCACGCACACCATGGCGAATTACACTTGATGCGGGAGGAATGGATGCATGTTTAAGACATTTACCACTTTGGTGATACAATACCGACGGGTATGGTGCTGACAAATCTGTACGGAAGCCTTTTAGGGCCGTTTGTTTTCTTTCTTTTTTCTTGAAATTTCAAGATATTAACTTGAAATTTCAAGATGTTATATGAAATTTCAAGATACTACGTTGAAATTTCAAGAAGGATCTTGAGATTTCAAGATAATAAGTTGAAATTTTAAAATTGTAACTTGAAATTTCAAATTGCCATGTTGAAATTTCAAGATACAAAAGTTGAAATTTTGAAGATAATGATCTTGAAATTTCAAGATAAAAGATAAAATTTCTTAGTATCTGGAAATTTCCTGTTAGTATCTTGAAGTTTTAACTTAGTGTCTTGAAATTTCAACTTAGTATCTTGAAATTTCAACTTAGTATCTTGAAATTTCAACGTAGTATCTTGAAATTTCAAGAAGAAGAAAAGAATGGCACTAAAAGGTTTCCATACTTCCGTTAATCTGATAACATATTTAGAATTTCGAACCCACAATTATTGGTACCTACACAACAAATGGGCGAAACTCATTGATAACGATTGATAAATAAGTATTTGTGACATAAATAACCTGAATAGAGTAGGAACTGAAATGTTTTGAATGTTAAATAACTGCTTTTTGGGTTCAGCTCTCGAAGGAAATTCGGCAATGTGACATCGCTGACCCGACCCGTCCACAGCAAGAGGAACGCCCCAATCTCCACCCCCAACGACATCATCGCCTACCTAGGTCTCTGTGGGGGAGAAGCGGCGTCGTTCCTAGGGATCCTGAACAACGGCGACTGTGTGGCAGTGAGTACGCATGAAGAACACGAGGAGTGAGTGAGTGAGTTGGGTTTAACGCCGCTCAGAACAGTATTACAGTTATATCACGGCGTGTCAGCTTAATGTGGGAGGAAAGCCCGAAGTGATGCAGGTCTCAGACGTTTACCACTTCGGTGAAACCCACGAGCACGGGTATGGTCCTGACAAACCTAGAAATATAATCACGGCGAACCGGGATTCGAACCCACAATCATAGGTTCTGGCGTGCCCAAGGGGCGCAAATCGTTTTAGCGAATTGTGTCGCCTTATGCCCCCAGACCAAAATGAACAGTTTACTAACGGTGAACGCTCCTTACTCCGTACCCCGTCAATCGGGATACCCCACCTTCAAGGATAGTACTGATAAGAATGCTTACTCGTTTATCTAGAAATCGATCAATCGGGAAGATTAGCGGGGTTTCACTATATCACAATAGATAAAACCAATATTGTTGTTTGATTGCAATACTTGAACCATCGTTGCAGTAGTATTTTGCAATAGTCGGCTGGTTACCTTTTCATTCTAACTTTATACGTTGCCTGGCTTTATGTGACATGGAGACCGCCTCCACGGTCTAGACGATAGAGCGTATGCTCGGAGAGCGGGAGATTGGGGCTCGATCCTGCGGCTAACTCCGTCGGGTCCAAATGAAACTTGAACATTTGAAACCTACGGCTAACCCCGTCGGATCCAAATGAAACTTGAACATTTGAAACCTGCGGCTACCCCGTCGGATCTAAATGAAACTTGAACATTTGCAACCTGCGGCTAATCCCGTCGGATCCAAATGAAACTTGAACATTTGAAACCTACGGCTAACCCCGTCGGATCCAAATGAAACTTCAACATTTGAAACCTACGACTAATCCCGTCGGATCCAAATGAAACTTCAACATTTGAAACCTACGGCTAACCCCGTTGGATCCAAATGAAACTTGAACATTTGAAACCTTCGGCTAACCCCGTCGGATCCAAATAAAGGTTACATTTGAAACCTACGTCTAACCCCGTCGGATCCTAATGAAACTTGAACATTTGAAACCTACGGCTAATCCCGTCGGATCCAAATGAAACTTACATTTGAAAACTACGGCTAACCCCGTCTGATCCAAATGAAAGTTACATTTGAAAACTGGGGCTAACCCCGTCTGATCCAAATGAAACTTACATTTGAAAACTACGGCTAACCCCGTCTGATCCAAATGAAAGTTACATTTGAAACCTACGGCTAATCCCATCGGATCCAAATGAAACTTGAACATTTGAAACCTACGGCTCATCCCGTAGGATCCAAATGAAACTTGAAAATTTGAAACCTACGGCTAGCGGCGGCCAAACAAATAAACAAACAAACAAACAAAACATCTTCTACTTTCAGATTGAGATCGCAAGCAAGTTGACGTTCAACGAGAAGACAATGATCCGGGCTTATGTTGAGTATTACAGAAAGAGCCTGGATATTTTAGAAAATAACATATGGCCAAGTAACGACATTGAGTCCAAGAATGATGGGAAATATTACCTGAAGAACATCAGCTACGGCACCTTGGAGATCATCATAGTTCAGTTCCGGTTTCGGACGCGGAAGGAGACAATGAAAGCGAAGGAAATTAGGTCGCCGAATTCACTGATGTCCGTTTACATGGAGACAGTGCGGAGAGAAGTTGGGACGCTAGCTAACCTACTCGTGAGTAACGTGTATACATTCCAGTATCTTCTTTAATGATGGTAAACGTACCTGTCTGTCCAAACTGTCCGCCATTGTATGTTTAGGGTTAACGGCCATTTGGCCATATTTGTTTAAACTTGGTGTACAAATCCGCCGAAGCCAATAAATTGAAATTTGAAAAAAATAAAAAAATTGAAAATCAATGGGTATATTATTCCAACAACGAGACATAAGTACGATGTTTGCAACAACAGCTCATTTACTGCCGCTATCAATTTAAAAATATTATTTAAAATAATATTAATACCTGTTTAAAATTGGTCTTATAAACTACCGCCCCGTGCTATTTGTTTTCATTTTTATTCTCAAAATATATTTGAAATCGAAATATGGAAAAATACATAATCGACCCACAGACTTGAATTTCTTTGGTCAAAATCAGAAAAGGTCTGTTCTCATTCAATGCGAGTGATAAGCGACAACTTTCTCTCATTGTCTGGCTTATTATCAGAAAACAATTTGAGTGGTATAGCTTAAAGATAGTCATCGATCAAACTTTACAAAACGCTGCAGCGATTAGAACGGGGCTTACATTACCGGCGATCTTCGAGGGATTTCTGCAAACATCCTAATTCGTGGTAATGGTACTGCTATGGTGTACCGGGTGGGACTTCTGTTGTTACATCATTTGCGTCTAGAATACGTCTTCCAGCCTTCGCTCGGAAACCTGCGGGCGACGGTGGCTTAGCCAAGTGGTTAAAGCATTTGCACGTTGGCAAGGCCTGGGTTCGATTCTCCACATGGATTCCATACGTGAAGCCCATTTCTGGTGTCCCCCGTCTAGAATATTGCTAAGAGCGGCGTAAAAGACATACTCACTCACTCACACGTACATTATGAGAATTCGTCTTCCAGATAATCAGATTGTCAACGGCAGGGAAGGGTCACTACCACAGCAAGACATTCAAGAGTGGACAGTATGCGCATGCCTTGCGGTACGTCCAGATCATGGAGGGGGAAATTAAGCATTTACGTGACGACATCGACCATGACAAGGTTGCGCCCCACCTACGATACAGCCTCTACCCATTTGAAACTCAGCAAAAAGCTCGTAAGTACCTTACTGTACGCCTGGGGTGTTGCCATGGCAACTGCAATAGAGTTCTCTGATGCAAGAGGTGTGGCACACATATCACAATGGAATTTTCAAATGGACCCCTTTTTAGTTCATTTTATGTGCTTGGATATATATTCAGCAAATTTGCCTTGCTATACATTTTTCTCATTTCACTTGCGCCGAGCAGAATCTCCTGCTTGCGCCGAGCAGGATCTCCTGAATTTATTATTATGATCCTTAGTCTGTTTTGCTCACTCACTCTCTCACTCACTCACTCACTCACTCGAAGTGACCACATGGATCGGGGGTCGATGGGGTGGTTTGGTTGACTGCCTGTCATAGTACCCTAACAAGAAGGTTGCTCATGATATCAACCACTTGTTCGTTCTGACCGCACTAGATTATTTACAAGAAATCGGGATGCAGCTGGAATAATTCCGACTGCAGCTTAAACAACAAACAGAAGCATTCATTCATTCCGGCGACATCCCCCATACATCCCTGAATATCTAGGGTATTATTCTTCTATTCCATAGTATTATTTACCATGGCCCTAATCGAAACCATAGTTTATTTCCAAAATCACGTCACCATCCCTTTCTCGTTTATCACTTACTTAGCACAGAATTCTTCTCGTTCGTGGGTGTTATTTGATTGGACGGCTATTTCGAGTGTCCTGTCCTTCGGACCAGACTGAAAACAAAGCAATGGTTGCAAATGGCTCCAGGGTATGCTTCACCCGAGAATGGATGCACAATAAATACCCTTGATACTCGAGGATGATGCACAGGCACATTTAGCTCCTTACTTCATAGAGCGCCTCCGGGGTCTAATGGATGAGCATCTGCCCGGAGAGCGGAATGTCGGTGGTTCGATTCCCGACCGCGTCAAACCAAAAGACGTTCAAAGATGGTACTTGTTCTTACCCTGCCTGGCGCTCGGGACACACACACACACACGCATACACACACGTCGCTATATTAGTGCAATTATCTTGACCGCTACATTGAACCCCATTTCACCTCACCCAGATAGCACAGTGCTGTTACACAAGTTAATATTGTTCAAAGAAACCGAGAAACCTAACTAAATCGTTCAGTAATCTACCGTCGGAGATCCGGGGTAGAATAGGTCTTCAGCAACCCATGCTTGCCGTAAAAGGCGACAATGCTTGTCGTAAGAGCCGACTAACGGGATCGGGTGGTCAGGCTCGCTGGCTTGGCCGATGCATGTCATCGGATCCCAATTGTGTGGTTCGGTGCTGATGATGTCAGTCGCTGGATTGTCTGGTCCAGACTCGATTATTTACAGACCGCCGTCATATAGCTGAACCATTTAACAACAACCAACATTTCACTAATCTGATGTTGTACATTTGTAGAGAGTCGTCTCGCTCATCGGCAGAGTCTTGAGATGTGGGAAAAGACTTCCGTTCTGGAGGTGACTCTCAGACAGTCCACGAAGATAGGGAAGAAAGCAACCAAACGGGTAAGGTTTATCATTTTGCGATCATTTGTTTTGGTGTATTTCTTTAAACTAGATGTCGGATTGACTTCATCTTCCCGAGGCAAGAGAGTTAACTGACTTTTAAAGTCCAGTTTCCACCCTTGCCGAACTAGGCTGGAATTACTGAGCTCGATCGTAGCGCCACCACTGGCTATTACCAGTTATGTTCCCGTTTAGCATCTCCTATGGACCAGTCAGATTCCACCTCTCGTGTCACTTGCGTTTGCTTCACACAAAATTGTGGCGCCCAGTCAGGACGATCTGATCTGTAATCAAGATCTATATTGTGATAAAACGGGTTTTACATTGCAAAATGCATCAAATCACGTGAGCACCTTAAAAACATGAAAGATTTGGAAATATCTGCTGACAACGAGTTGGTGGTGCACATACTTTGCAAATCCTGCAAATCGACCGAAATCTGCACGACAGAACCGGATTTCGATTTCGGTGCGCGATTTTGATTGGACTATGCATAGACTCAGTAAGGATAAATGCCTATCAAAGAAGTTATGCATAGACATGTTAGTCCAGCCAAAATGTAACTCTATCATTCCAGCCTAGTTCGGCAAGGTTGGAAACTGGAATTTTATAGTCAGTTAACTCTCTTGCCTCGGGAAGATGAAGTCAATCCGACATCTAGTTTAAAGAAATACACCAAAAAAATTGTCATATGTGTTCCTCATAAGTGTTCCTCATAATAAAGAAGTTGACATCCATAAATTCTCTTTCTTTGGGTTGACTCTTAATTAAGTCTGACCAAGGTTATTTCGTTTCGCTAGTCCACTCTTCCCCTGGTTAAGATATGGCGGGACTCGCATCAGCTATTCCCTGAGTGAAAGATAAGCCCTTCCTACATACGCAGTTAAGCCATTGCCAACAGCTAAAAAACGTTTCTACGCAAGGAAAGATCTAAACACGATATGAGGAAACGGTGTGTCTATCACCTGGTTAATAAAAACAATGCTGCTCTGCGTACATCGATGCTCATGATGTCAATCACGGGATTGTCTAGCCCGGACTTGATTATTTACATACCACTGTCATATAGCTGGAATATTGCTGAGTGCGGCGTTAAATAACAAACACAAGAAAAAAGATGAACTTTTCCGGCCGACCCTATTTTCAAACCAGTGAAAGTTGCATAATTGAAATTCGCTTTTAATGCTCGCCTTGGCGGCCATTTTAAAATATTGTTTTGATGCATTAATCAACTGTACACAAGAGGAAGTCAATGTCCGTCCTTGATTTCTTTAGTCTATATTCTGTATTATGTGTTCTATATTAATACGATCGATTCGTGTTCATCATTATTTTTTAAACTGCCAGGGGGAAGAAAGAACACACTGATGATGGTGGGGCTAAAATGAAACAAACAAGAAATAGTTATTCGATGGTGATGTATTTGATATGGGTATCATTGTTGAGTTAAGGACCTTAAGGTTTGGGTGACAACTTTCAGCCCTTAGTCCATGGTAACGTTTTGATAACGTTTTGATAATTGTTTGGTCAAATCCAATTCTGAAGTGTTAACTTTCTTATGCCAGTTTTTTCGTCTTTTTCTCATACTGTCTAGACACAATTTAGTAAGACCATGTGGTTAACGTTGACTTATTTTGAGACTTTACCGTATATACCAATAATAATGATAATAAATGTGTAATAATGATAATTAATGTATGATGATAATAATTATAATAAATGTACGATGATGTTGATGATAATGTTGATAATTAATGTATGATGGAGATAATTATAATAAATGTATGATAATAATAATAATAATAATAATAATAATAATATATGATGATGATGATGATAACACGAATAATAATTAATGGCATGATGTTATTAAATATCCTCCCATGAACTATGCGAAATACAGAAATATCTCTGGAATAAAAAAGGAATGTCATTTCATTGCAATGAAAATGTTACAGTTAATTCACACTAGAAGAACGGAAACGTTCGCACCTAAAACCACCTGTTACGAAGCAGGTTATGACCACTGAGTGGTTTATCAATTCAAATAGCAGTCACACAGGTGCAAATCAACTAGAAATGGCAGATGTTACTTTTTTTTGTCTTAAGTACATTATTTCATGTTACATTAAAATTAAAATAAATCTCCCGAAAACTTCTAAAGGGATACTAATACAGATAACTGGCGTGCATGTGGGTCGTTCAAAACTCCGCACACCACCCTCCGCCATGTGTGGAGCAAATTGCTTCCTGTTGTCGCTATTTCATGTTTGCTCAAAACAAACATTGAGGCTATCATTTCAGTAAATAGTTTATATAAGAATCTCCAACCGAGTGTAGGATATCAACCTACATCCTCCGTGGTTGATGCTGATACAGATATGTTTGACACGTGACCACTCATGTGATTTATAACGCCTTAGACAGTAGACAGCAAGCCTCATCAGTGTCCCAGTATCTGATAGGCGGACATATTTCGGGGACTTTATCAAGAAACATTTTCGGGAATTCCTGGTATCTTATCAAATCCCATTTTCGTTTCGGATAACGGAATGGACAGGGTTATTCATTGGTCCGACGCCAGAAATTGGTCTACGTTATCAATTCATTCGTAAATCGGAAGCCTTGACCCTGTTGTGTAAAAATGATATTTTGGATTTTGAGGGAGTCCCTGAATACGAAAACACGGGAAGACACATTATGGGAGTTTATCTGGAAGACATTGCCTTATTAAATGTCTGGAAGAACATGTTCCTGGCCCGCATGCATGTATATCTATTTTAAAGACGGTGTATACACATGTAATGCGATGTGAAAAACCCTTTGATTTAATCATTGTAAGTTGGGAAAAGCGTGGGTTTATGGTTTAAATCAGATTGATAAAGCCAAGACCATTTGCAGCTTGTCTAGACGATAGTACGTCGTTTCCGAAACATTCACGGAAAAACGGCGATATTTTTGCAAACTTGATTTCGTGGGGCAGCGTGATTGCTTGGCAGTGGTGAAATTGACGCACGGTCGACGCAGAGGGGAAGAGGGGGGAGGGATCTGGCGGTCTGCCATACCACCTGCTATACGGGAACTGGGAGGGGTCAGCAAGTTCCTCACACACACCCGCGTAATAATACACACATGAAACAGTGCCGAGGAGGTAAACCGCCGGAAGGAGTGATAAGTCGGGAGATAGGGGGTGATTTTATTCAATGAAAAAAAACGTATTTACTGACTGATGCCGGTATAATCTTTAAAGTTATCGACTCTCATCTCAGACTGCATTACATTTGGCAATAAACCACGGTTACATGTGGCAAGAAATGGACGAGAACACGACTAAATAACATAGGTAGCATCTGATAGCCTACATGTTCAGGCACCACGGCTGCCGAACGTGTTGAAGCCCCACGCACGGTCCCCGGTCGCTGATTTGGCCCAGCGTTGCTGGATAGAAGGGCAATACAGATAATTTCCGGCGATATTTCACCATGGCATACGTGATTGAAAGATTGTCGATACTATAAGGAATAACAACTACCAGAGATATTTGGTTAACCATAAAATGTATGTTGACAGAATGTGACCATTAGCACTAACGGATCGGCTACAAAGAATCAAATTACCCACTGCGTGTTTAACGGCCGGTTGAGTTTGTTGTTTAACGCCGGGGGGGGGGGGGGGGGGGGGGGGAGTTAAAGTGCCTAACGTGGCTGACTGGTCTGTGTGTTGTCTTACCCCGACTGCGCAGATAATTTCTTACGCTTATCGTTTCAAATCACTGGTTTGTCTGCGCCAGTCTGGGTGATGATCTAGCTATGGCACTGACTGCAATGCTACACCAAATTCACCCACCACCTCCTAGATAATTTAATACACGTTTCGTTCCCCGACTTTATAGCACTGATTTGACTTCATTGTCGATGTATCCATAGCAGTATTGTTTTTATTAACCAGGTGATAAACACACCGTTTCCTCATTTCGTGTTTAGATCTTTCTTTGCGTAGTAACGCTTTTAGCTGCTGGCAGTGGCTTAATTGCGTATGTAGGAAGGGCTTATCAGTCACTCAGGGAATAGCTGATGCGAGTCCCGCCATGTTGTAACCTGCGTACGGCAGGACCCCTTCCCCTGTTCCGCGCCGCCCCGTACACAGATAATGTCTGGCGCCGGGCGAGAGACGCTAGTCCTGGGGGTACTGCCATGAAAACACATTGAGTTATCGTGCCCTGTCTTACATGCTCTGTGTCTTAAGTCTCAGGTACATATGCCCTAGACTGACATTTAGTTCTACAAATAAAAATAAAATTTAATGTATATAATTATGACTTTTTTGTATATATACAAAATAGAAAATAAAATCCAAATGGAGCCCAGAACAACGCTTATTTTACACCTGATGCAATTTGAAACTTGCCAAAATCTAAACTTGCCAAATCATTTACGACTTGAGCTGGATTCATTTTTTTAATTTTGTCCACAGTTCTGGTGAAGAGCCAGACTGAAACAATGGAACCAGTGGTTTTATCAGCATTAGAAATTGGCACTAGTCCTGTAGACTTTTGAGATGGAGGCACGCTATATCTTAAATTACTCCATGCATCCGTGACCTGGGTCTTCAGTCTCAGGTACAACTCTCCCCCAACCAGCAAGACCTACCCGCAATGTCCACCCCAACACCCCGGCCCCTCCCCTCGAACTACCCCTAGAACCACGTGACCCCTTTCCGATACTCGCAGCCAACCCAGCATCGTGGCTAGCACGAGTTGGCTAGAAACACGCGGCTATACCAACATCATGGCTAGACTTACTAGATTACGAGTAGACGACAAACAGGAGGCCACCTCGATACCATGAATAGAATGAGTAGACGACAAACAGGGGGCAACCCAAACTCCATGAATAGCATGAGTAGACGAAGAACAGGAGGCCACCAAAACACAATGAATGGAATGAGTAGACGACAAACAGGAGGCCACCAAACACCCTGAATAGAATGAGTAGACGACAAAGAGGGGCAACCCAAACTCCATGAATAGAATGAGTAGACGACAAAAAGGAGGCCACCAAACACCATGAATAGAATGAGTAGACGACAAACAGGGGGCAACCCAAACTCCATGAATAGAATGAGTAGACGACAATCAGGACGCCACCCAAACTCCATGAATAGCATGAGTAGACGAAGAACAGGAGGCCACCAAAACACAATGAATGGAATGAGTAGACGACAAACAGGAGGCCACCAAACACCCTGAATAGAATGAGTAGACGACAAACAGGAGGCCACCCAAACACCATGAATAGAATGAGTAGACGACAAACAGGGGGCAACCCAAACACCATGAATAGAATGAGTAGACGACAAACAGGGGGCAACCCAAACACCATGAATAGAATGAGTAGACGAAAAACAGGAGGCCACCCAAACACCATGAATAGATGAGTAGACGACAAACAGGAGGCCACACAAACACCATGAATAGATGAGCAGACGACAAACAGGAGGCCACCCAAATACCATGAATAGATGAGCAGACGACAAACAGGAGGCCACCCAAACACCATGAATAGAATGAGTAGACGACAAATAGGAGGCCTCCCAAACACCAATAATAGAATAAGTAGACGACAAACAGGAGGCCACCAAACACCAATAATAGAATGAGTAGACGACAAACAGGAGGCCACCCAAACACCATGAATAGCATGAGTAGACGACAAACAGGAGGCCTCCCTAACGCCATGAATAGCATGAGTAGACGACAAACACGCGGCTAATGGGATGCCCAGATGGTATAATTGAGTTAGGATGATCAGCAGTGAAAACAGACATGACGTCACGTGACGCCCCATGGCTTCCCTTGAGCGAGTTTCCAGATCCCGAGTTGAGTTAACTATTACCATAACAACATCCACACGTGTATCTGCTCCGGTGATGTACATTTCATTGACAGAATTCCATATCATAGCATCATTGTAACGCCGGTGGTTCTCAAAGAAGTGTAGACTCATCATTTACGGCTTGTCGTAATAGTCGGAGCCCAAACATACATGAACGATGAATCAACGATTTTTTAAAAATGTTTTCCCTGCACCTTGCGATAAGTGTGGCAATCACTAGAAAATATAACCAAACCTTATGACACATAGAGAACGCCACCTCGTTTTTTTTGTGCTATTGCATGTGTGGAGGCCTCATTGGGTGGATATGACCGCAGCATCCTCTCCACCTAGTGCATACCGAGTGACCCCTTGTTGAAAGTAGCATCGTTATCGCATCGCTTATTCTGTCTAGTCGGGGCGGTCGGGTAGCCTAGTGGTTAAAGCGTTCGCTCGTCATGCCGAAGACCCGGGTTCGATTCTCGACATGGGTACAATGTGTGAAGCCCATTTCTGGTGTCCCCGCCGTGATGTTGCCAAAAGCGGCGCAAAACCATACTCACTCACTCACTCTAAACAGTCAGGTACGATTATCAGCGATAGAAACGGACTGTTTTAGTCTACTAGTCCTTACAATATAAACAAATAGCAAAACCCTTTAAAATGGCAAATTTCAACTAGTCCTTGTGATACTTTAGCTATCGGGCGGTTTAGCAAGGGCTATAGGACCACTGCCAATTCCTAACGCTGATTATACCATTATTTCATTCTGGCTTATCACCAGACCTATGGAATAAAATTGAAAATGAATCCAACTGAAGTCCAGAATGCTTTGGTAAGATTATATTACACGGTTTTAAGTTAAGCATTGTTCTGGGCCTCATTGTAAATATATATCGTAGATTCCGGCCAGAAATGGTCCCCAATACCCCATGTTTGTCTCCCTGTGGGGATTCCGCCCAGAAATGGTCCCCAATACCCCATGTTTGTCTCCCTGTGGGGGATTCCGGGCAGAAATGGTCCCCAATACCCCATGTTTGTCTCCCTGTAGGGATTCCGCCCAGAAATGGTCCCCAGTACCCCATGTTTGTCTCCCTGTGGGGATTCCGGCCAGAAATGGTCCCCAGTTCCCCATGTTTGTCTCCCTGTGGGGGATTCCGGGCAGAAATGGTCCCCAGTTCCCCATGTTTGTCTCCCTGTGGGGGATTCCGGGCAGAAATGGTCCCCAATATACCATGTTTGTCTCCCTGTGGGGGATTCCGGGCAGAAATGGTCCCCAATATACCATGTTTGTCTCCCTGTGGGGGATTCCGGGCAGAAATGGTCCCCAGTACCCCATGTTTGTCTCCCTGTGGGGGATTCCGGGCAGAAATGGTCCCCAATACCCCATGTTTGTCTCCCTGTGGGGATTCCGGCCAGAAATGGTCCCCAGTTCCCCATGTTTGTCTCCCTGTGGGGATTCCGGGCAGAAATGGTCCCCAGTTCCCCATGTTTGTCTCCCTGTGGGGGATTCCGGGCAGAAATGGTCCCCAGTACCCCATGTTTGTCTCCCTGTGGGGATTCCGGCCAGAAATTTAATCCAGTACCCCCTTGTGGGGATTCCGGTATACTAGCACTCCACTGTCCCATGCTGTATTGTAAGGAATCACGGGATTAAACTGCACGCAGCGACGCAACGCGTTAGATTCGCACCTACGCTGAAACAGTGTTAGCCTCGAGACAAAATCGTCTATATATAATGTATAATGGAACCGATCTGTTTGTTGTAGCAAGACCGAACACATCTACCATTTGAAAGTGGATTTGATAATATCATATCATTTTGTCTGACGTTGCCTGTTATGCTGACTTGACATCTTTCTCTTTCAGTGCAGGAAAGTACACTCACAGCTCTGTAAGCGGGTTCGGGAGCTGCTCCGAACGCTGAAACGTACACAGAGAGTGGTCCATAGGTCAAGGTCACGATGGATGGAGCTGAAGGAGCCGGAGAAGGAGAAGGCGGCGAAGTCTTCAACCGACGTCAACAGGTACAGCAACGCCATGAAACGATTGGCTAGGCTGGTGAGGAAATGGTGGAAGACGGAGAAGTTTGAGAGGTTAAAGAGGAGGAAACAGCGAAAAAACCAAACAGGAGTCGAAGGCCGAAACAGGATGCTTCCTCCCAAACTGTCTAAAAACTGAGAATATGGGTAAAGGGTCATGGATCAAGGTCAAGGCCACCGTGTCATGGCGGAGCTGGCTTCGCTGTGGCACGTTTGGCAGCAGCTTCCGGTGAAACGTAGCAGTCATTGCGGCCATCGTCAAGATGTCAGTTGCTGCTTTGCCAAATGGAAATGGGGAAACATAATTAAGATACATAACATGTTAGTTTCCGTAAGGTATATAACATCAGAAATACCCTCCAATCACCGCGAGACGAGCGACCAGTGACGGTGTGAGGAGCCGTGGGAGAAAGTGGTGTTTAGAGTTGACGGCAGGCCACGTCAGGGTGTGCTTTCAGTTGGGCAGGTGGATGTGATATGTTGGTTTTCGCTGTCCATCAATAGTAATATCTTGTTACAGTTATCCAATTTGATAGTTATGGATATGATCATTTCTTAAATGTATTAGTCTCAGCTATGATGTATTATAATAAGCGTGCTGTATAATACGTAACGTCAGTTAAGCCAGGTCAAGGTCACCGCAACAGCTTGTACATATTTAAAGTGTATGTAAATAGTGTATATATTTAATACTTCGTTTCAGGTCGCAAATGTTAATAACGCACATCGCCATTACTGGTTGACGGTCAGTGTACACATCGGTTCTATGGGTAGGATACAAGTTTGATAAAGTGGAATTGTTTATAAATACGTCAATATATATACATATCGATTACTAATAGGGCCGCTTTCAGTAAAGACGAGCACAATGTCTATTCAAAGATGATAAGGGGCGGTTGGGTAACCTAGTGGTAAAAGCGTTCGCTCGTCACGCCGAAGACCCAGGTTCGATTCCCGACATGGGTACAATGGTGTCCCCCGCCGTGATATTGCTGGAATATTGCTAGAAGCGGCGAGAAACCATACTTACTCACTCACTCAAATATAATAATTTTACCTAAGTCGTATCTTTACGTGTAATTGAGCAGTCTAAAATGAATAAAATGTCTTGAATATTTCTATTGCATGTATTATGCTGATGTAATACTTTCATCAACAGAACCATAATTTTCGTCACGAGTGAAGTATTTCTAAATATATTTTGCAATATATACCGTAATATTGATGTAACATATTATTTTAGTACCAAATAAACTATATTTTGATATTAATATTAAATGAATATATAATAATTTGTCAAATGGTTCAACTATTTTATTTTCAGTGTGTTTACCGTGCGTGTTTCATAAATACCACTGTATATAGCTTGTACGTGCGTCCTGTCCGTTAAGGGGACACACGCCGGCAAATCAGTAAACACGTGTCTGAGTGAGACGTTCCTTAATGGTCATTTTAGCTGTGTCAGCAATTTGTTGAACTCATGTAAATAAGTTTGTTGATGATAATATTGATTATATTGATGATAATATATACCTCGTTGTTACTTTTCTGGTTGTAAATATATAGTTCAGGCTAGAATCTTTCTGTTATCTTCGTATTGCAAATAAATTGCGTAATTCCTTGATCAGTTGCCCTGTATATTCTGTTTTGTGAGTAAAGAAATGTGATTTTGATGTATTCCATTCGAATACACCTGTCAGGAAGGGGACCGCCTCCGTGGTCTAGTGGGTAGAGCGTCTGCCCGATGATTGGACGGGCGATGGTTCGATCCCCGGCCGTCTCATATCCAAAGAAGTCAAAAGATGGTACTTGTTGTTACCCTGTCTGGCGCTTGGCATTATGGAGATAAAACAAGCTCTGGTGTGCTCTGTCCGAATGGGGTATCCATGTTAAATTGCGGCGTGGTATCTCAGTTGGCTAGCACTAAAACACCAGCATTGGTCCTCCGGACTCGCAAACACGCACCCATGTGCGTAGCTATATGAGTGAAACAATCTTGAACGCGACATATAACCCCATTTCACCTCCTGTCTGGAAAGGCCCACGGATCGTCTAGGGTGGTGCTGTTGTTTAAACACCTTCCCGAGGCAAGGGAGTTAACTGACTATAAAAGTTATATTTTGGCTGGACTAACGAGTCTATGCATTGTCAAATCAAAATCGCGCAACGAAATCGGCATCCGGTTCGTAAACTACCGTGCAGATATCGGTCGATTGCAGGATTTGCAAAACATGTATACCGCCAACTCGGTGTCAAACGATATTTCCAATATCTTTTCATGTTTTGAATCAAGGTGCTCACTTGATTTGATGCTCTTCGCGAAGTAGGAACAGTTTAATCACACTATAGATTTTGATTATCGATGAGATCGTCTTGACAGGGCGTCGCCATTTTGTTTGAAGCAAGTGATATGAGAGCTGGAATCTGATTGGTCAATAGGATGGACATAGAAGGGACATAACTCGTAATAACCACCGGTGGTAGTACGATCGAGTCCAAAAATTCGGCAAGGGTGGAAACTGGACTTTTATAGTAGGTTACCCATGCCTCGGGAAGATGTTGTTTAAAGCGTCAACAACGGGTTTTTTATAGAGTTGTGTCCCCTTGTCGGGCCATAATTTCGTTGAGAAGACAACAGACAGAATTTATAGGGTGTGTATTTATAAAGATATGTGCGAAGAAGGTTCACGGTATGATTCGTGACCCTATGAGTCATGAGCTTTTGAAATTTTACAAAGTGCATACGCTCCTTGATACGGCATCGTTTAGACTGTCTTACAGACCCTGATACAAATATATATCAAATACAGCTCATGCAAGTCTATAATGTTTAGCAAGTCTAGATCACTGCAGTCTGAAAATGAAGAGAGTCACTAGGCTCCTTTTTATTATATTTTTATTAAGATAACTGAACAACTGTTTTTTTATGTACGATATGTTCATTTCAGAGACTAGATGTTAGTCTAGGCATCGTTATTTAACTCCATTACCGCAATAATATATCGGAGTACATTCTTATGAATTAATACACCAACCATAATAACTTGACAGTTTATTTGCTTGTGGTTTAACGTCGCACTCAGCAATATTCAAGCTATATGACTGAGGTCTGTAAATAATCGAGTCTGGACCAGGCAATCCAGTGACATCATCAGCATCAATCCACGCCATTAGGATGCGATGACATGCATCAACCAATCCTGTTAGTCGCCTCTCACGACAAGCATAGTCGCCTTTTACGGCAAGCATGGGTTGCTGAAGGCCTATTCTACCCCGGATCTTCACGGGTCTATAATAATAACTTCATAGACTGATTATTAAGGATTGGCACACGAAACTGTAGACAACAGTACGAAATCAGTGACGTCATTCATGGCAAGTCAACAAGTCCTGTCCATTTTATTTTCAGCCAATCAGGAAAGAGTAATAATCCGGCATGGTCTCATGTTTTCAGGTTTATAGAGTGAGTGAGTGAGTTTGATTTTACGCCGCTTTTAGCAATATTCCAGCAATATCACGGCGGGGGACACCAGAAATGGGCTTCACACATTGTACCCATGTCGGGAATCGAACCCGGGTCTTCGGCGTGACGAGCGAACGCTTTAACCACTAGGCTACCCGACCGCCCTTAGGTTTATAGAAACAAACACAAAAGCCATTGTTCGGATAGCCAATCAAACGCTACGGAAAGCAATTGTTGCTATATCAAAGTTATTATGAGACGGAAATGACAATTTTGAAACAAACAGGGGAAGTTCTCTTCTTGACCATCATTCAGACAAACTGCAAGTTTGCAGAGATGGATGACGAGGCGAGCGATTAAAACTAGTTTTATGTTTTTGATCTGGACCCATGTGGGAAAACGAACACGGGCTTTCTGGGTCATTAGCGAATGTTTTATCACAAGGCTACCCTACCGCCTCTATTACGCAAATAAGAACTGTCTGCAGTGACTAATCTGATTGGAGCAGACAAGCCAATGGTCGATAGTATGATCATCAAAAACCTCTTTCTGTAAAGTCCGAAGGAGTATAAGTAACGTGTTAGTTAATAGATCAGCTGATTTGAGAACTTCGCAATTTGTTTGTCCAATATGGTAGAGGCGGTGGGTAGCTTAGTGGTTAAAGCGTTCGCCTGTCGCACCGAAGACCCAGGTTCGATCCCAACATGGGAACAATGTGTAAAGCCCAATGTGTGATAATGAAATATTGCTAAAAACGGCGTAAAATCATACTCACTCGATTATGCTCGGGCGACTTGCTTGTCGTAAGAGGCGACTAACGGGATCGGGTGGTCAGGCTCGCTGACGTGGTTGATGCATGTCATCGTATCCCAATTGCATATATCTATGCTCATGATATCAATCACTGGATTGTCTGGTCCAGACTCGATTATTTACGGACCGCTGTACAAACCTTGAATATTGCTGAGTGCGGCGTTAAACAACAACCAACCAACCAACCATTATGCTGGGGTTATAGAATTAAAAGGAATCACAGACCCGCCTCGTAAATGACCGACTGGTGAGCTGTCCTGCAAGGCAATCCAAGTTTTTATCAGCCAGGGCTGGTAACCTAAATCAGGTAATCAAAGACTATCACATATTATATCTATAATGTGGCCAGCTGTTTACTCGGCTGTTGTTGGTTCTCCTGAGTTGACGTATAATTAGATAGGAAAGAAATATGAACGCATTTGGTCGTGACTTTTCTTTTACACATTTTAGAAAAAAGCAAAACGTATTTAGGAACCAATTGGGTTTCAAGAACGTAACATCGTCTCCGTGGTCTAGTGGTAGAGCGTCTGCCCGGAGAGCGGAAGGTCCGGGGTTCGATCCCCGGCTGCGTCATACCAAAATACTTTAAAAGATGGTACTTGTTTCCCTGTCTGGCGCTCGACATTGACTGGTTAAAACAAGATCGGTTCGGAGCTTACTGCGTCTGAGTGGGGTATTCATGTTAAACTGCGGCATGGTATCTCAGTGGGCTAGCGCTATAAAATCGGCATCAGTCCGGACTAGTACAAGCAGCCACACACACGTGCATGCACGTCGCACCTGTGACTGAGAGTGATCCAGGCAAACCAGTGATTGAGAGTGATCCAGACAAACCAGTGATCCACACAAACCAGTGACTGAGAGTGATCCACACAAACCAGTGATTGAGAGTGATCCACACAAACCAGTGATTGAGAGTGATCCACACAAACCAGTAACTGAGAGTGATCCACACAAACCAGTGTTTGAGAGTGATCCACACAAACCAGTGATTGAGAGTGATCCACACAAACCAGTGATCCACACAAACCAGTGATTGAGAGTGATCCACACAAACCAGTGATTGAGAGTGATCCACACAAACCAGTGACTGATAGTGGTCCACACAAACCAGTGATTGAGAGTGATCCACACAAACCAGTGACTGAGAGTGATCCAGACAAACCAGTGATTGAGAGTGATCCACACAAACCAGTGACTGAGAGTGATCCAGACAAACCAGTGATTGAGAGTGATCCACACAAACCAGTGATTGAGAGTGATCCACACAAACCAGTGACTGAGAGTGATCCACACAAACCAGTGACAGAGTGATCCACACAAACCAGTGATTGAGAGTGATCCACACAAACCAGTGATTGAGAGTGATCCACACAAACCAGTGACTGAGAGTGATCCACACAAACCAGTGATTGAGAGTGATCCACACAAACCAGTGATTGAGAGTGATCCAGACAAACCAGTGACTGAGAGTGATCCACACAAACCAGTAATTGAGAGTGATCCACACAAACCAGTGACTGAGAGTGATCCAGACAAACCAGTGATTAAGAGTGATCCAGACAAACCAGTGATTGAGAGTGAACAATTAGACAAGTATAGACAGATGGGATATAGGAATCTAAATTCTTTCCAAGAAATACCAAGGTGATACAAAGTACATGTCCGACTTGCAGATTTGTCCAGTATTGTGAGTGAGTGAGTGAGTGAGTGAGTGAGTGAGTGAGTGAGTGAGTGAGTGAGTGAGTGAGTGAGTGAGTGAGTGAGTGAGTGAGTGAGTGAGTGAGTGAGTGAGTGAGTGAGTGAGTGAGTGAGTGAGTGAGTGAGTGAGTGAGTGAGTGAGTGAGTGAGTGAGTGAGTGAGTGAGTGAGTGAGTGAGTGAGTGAGTGAGTGAGTGAGTGAGTGAGTGAGTGAGTGAGTGAGTGAGTGAGTGAGTGAGTGAGTGAGTGAGTGAGTGAGTGAGTGAGTGAGTGAGTGAGTGAGTGAGTGAGTGAGTGAGTGAGTGAGTGAGTGAGTGAGTGAGTGAGTGAGTGAGTGAGTGAGTGAGTGAGTGAGTGAGTGAGTGAGTGAGAGAGAAATCTTTGCACCAAACCCGCGCTCGTTGGTTCAATCAAAGTCGCCCCAGGTTTTGCTCCCATATTAAGCTGAGATGACGTGAGATAAAATATTGTTCAAACCGGCGTTATACCAAACTCAATCCCTCACTAACCCCTCCACCTCAAGTAGATAAAGAGATTATGCAACGAGGTAGGAGGCCACAAATTTACATGATCCACACGCGAATATTTACAGTCCCCCGTGATAAACCTGGAATATTGCCGACAGTGCGTAAAACTACATTCACCATC